TTTTTTTGTAATTTTGGTTAACCTCCTTGTTATATGAATTTTAGATGGTCAAATCATCAAATTTGCGCCTTTTTCCCAACCTTAGAAGTTAATCTTTAACATCCCTTAGCGTCACTTTCCTTGATAGATTACGATTTCTGAATTATGCCCTGCAAAAGCTCAGCATAGTGAATAACATGCAGATTTATGAACTCTTGGCGATAGGAGGTCTTTTGATACCATGAAATATATTGTCAACCCATCACAGTGTGCATCATCAGGACACGAAAAGATTTACATTTCCATTTCGACTCATGGTAGTAACAATGTAATGTGCTCTGAACTATTCGTCTAGGACAAAACTTCAATGCCCCCTCTTTCTTATTGATATTGTTAATAGCCGCTATAGCCGATATTCGAGCGTTACCTGACGGCAGGCCTTCTGATGACGTAAATTTCTCGAACTCTTTCAGCGTCTCTTTGCTTAATGCAATTTATCCTTCATTTCAGATAGTTCCCTCTGTTCTTCGTTTTTCGACAGGGGTCGGCAGAGCCCGTCTCCAGTGTTCTCCATCTAAGCTGGCGTTTATCGTTTGTATCGTTCCTACATGGCGATTGACGGCTCGTAGCAGAGGATATGGTATGAGTAGGTCGAGGGGGTAGCTGCAACCACAGGATCCGTGACTCAAAGGTGCCACTAAGCCATGACGCAAGTGGACTGATTTTTTATGCCTTCAGTAATCTATCGAACGCCAGTTGTATTTAACACATGTCAATCTGTTTCGTTCGCCAGAACCGCAAGGTAATCAATCAACGACAGCTACGTCCCAAAGCCACTGAACGGTTTCACGATTTCTTGGAACGGATGGAAAGTGAGGCGTTCCACCACGCATATATAAATAAACAACCTCATGCCGCGTTTCCCAACATTCAAAACGGACTTGACCCTACGCCTGTCATTCAGGAACGCTTACGTTGTGCAATAGGACCTCAGTCTACCTTACACTACTGCAGGTCGCTGTAAAGTAAGAAATTGATTTTTCTTCTGCACGCTATGCATTTTCGTCTTTCCATTGCGATATGGTTATTGCTAAGGTGGTGCCGTGTATTGTATATAAAATTTTACTATGTAAATGACGCTTCTTTATACGTCACGTCGTTGTTCTGGCATGGAAATTCTGCCTTAAATTAAATCAATCTTAACAAATTTAAATTTTGAACTTTGAACAAACAATTAAGCAACGCTATAACTCCCTGCAACGATGAAAATGCTCTTCCACCTGGTACTGAGTTTGCGCATTCATAACATGGGGTCATGAAATATGAGACAGAAATATTCTAAATTCACAAATTTTACCATAGATTCGATTTATGCTGTCAGTGAGTTTTCGATTTATATGTGAGTGATCGAGTAAGTCAGAAAGACTATGAAGTTGGGCTTAATGAAATAGCAAAAACCATCGAGACGAACTTAGCGAAGCGAGGTTGCTCAGAACTAATGAATGCGCGTAATCGCTTCGTCATATATCATTTGACAGATGTTTTGTAATTTGCTTAATGAGAGCGATTCATTAATAAGTAAATCATGAAATCTGGAAAACGGTGCGGAGGCAAGCTTTAGCTAATACATGCAGTCAAACTCGAGATTGCATGATCTGCGCTGAATCAATGAGATCTCCACGTCGGAAGAAATCAGAAATTCGGTAGCTTCGTAGAAGTCTCGCATCATGTTCACGGAGTGTTTCTCACGGATACGTAATCTGGCGGGCTGAATGTACCGTTTGATCTTGGTGACCACATCCAATCAATAGATTCAAACTCGCGGCCACAGGACTGTGCGTTGACAGCATCTATCGATCGACGTCCAAACGGCTACACCCAAATGGCCGGCCGGCACCCATACGTCTGCGTCCGAATGTCGTAGGCTGAATGACCAAACGGTGAAACGAAATGCTTATTTATACACAACGCAAGTAGGCTCAATCAGATGATCAACCAATACTGTCATGGCGACGGCGACTCATCTCTCACGGCCATTCCTCAACGTAAGGAGGTTGAGGGAGTGGCTTCTGAAATGGTTCAATTCTCCTCTGTAGTAGAAAGTGCTTTTGCTCTGTGTATAAATGAACCATGTTTTATGCTACTTTCAATATTACCACTGGAGCAGTATTGAAATACTCAATTAAAGGAATGATGTGTGAAAACGCACGCGAGAGGAAGATTTTTTAATGCTTTATGATGGTTCGTCAATTTATCATTAGTGAACGACATCTGGGCTCTGCCCCCCCCCCAATGGAACTTAATTTTTTAGCATGCGCAGTTCACGGAGATTCAGCGCTTTGAACATCACGCCTACAATTTTTCTTCAGCATCAACTGAACATGCAATACACTTACTGCGGTGAAACCGTCCAACCACATCGCTGCATTTGATTTGTTATATCATCCAAATATGAAAAACTCCGAAATGCTCTATTATCACTGAATATACCCTTTTCATTTTGGAGTAGATGTGTGTAGGAACTTCTGTCAAAGTCAAAGTAGAGTCGTTTCAGTAGTTCACAGTTAACGTTGAGTTCGCCAGGGGACTTGCTTTCTTGTTTGCTACTTTTTCTGTGAAATTCTAGCAAAAATTTGAGGTCTCGTTCTGAAGGCATGGTGCATTTCCAAGAAAATGCCCCTGTCTTTATTGTGCTGAAGTGGAAAACTCTGATCATGTTTACTTGGCTGTAGAACGGAGCGGGCTCTATCACCAGAAATCTTCCCCAAGACACCTGTTTGCAAACAAAGACCTCTTCCCTAGCGCCCGATAATCACACGCTATGAGGAACCCATCTGGCGCAGCTGATTTACAATGGAACAAAGAGATGAAGCGCTTCAGAATATCGAACATTTTAATAACCTTGACATCATCATTCTCGGCGATCACGACATCGTGCCAGAATTATACCAACTCTGTTTTTGCCAGTGCCAAGCTCAAATGACACAGGAGAAGGGTGGGGAAGATGGCGAAGTCTCCAGTGAAACTCAGCTACCTGACCCTCATCGTATTTCCGCTAGGGAACATTACACCGCCCTGTTCGTCGCCCGCGGTATCACGGGCCGGGCGGGCTGTTAGAAAACTGCGACAGTCTTCAATAAAGCGGCTATCAGAATTTTCTCACCTTATCGCACTTGGATCGGGGCACAAGGGGGGGGGGTGGAGTAACAGCAAGGCGAGAACTGCAGAAGCGCGACGAGAAAATGACCAAGATACCAGTCAGCAACGGAGTCGTTACCCATTCTAAACGGAGAAGGCGCACAGCGCAGTGCAATTCTTGCACGACACATGAGGTGCCTTGGCAACAGGGAGTGTAACGGTTGGAAACTGGAACATCTCTTTACTCACAGAAGAGGCGAAGGAACAGTTTGATGAGGTGGCAAGTAACCAAGTGGACTTTGACTATCACTATGCGAAATGCCAGAACTATGAAATTCTGAACCTTTGCCAGTAGAAGCCATTCCACTCAGGTGTCGACATCACTACACACATTCAGATCGGTGTTGGTGCTCTGGTGGAACCTTACCTGGCTCACAGAATCATTAAATGTAAGCCTGGCAGTGGATCGGTGGCAATCATTCATCTGAAGTTGCAACTGGATAAATATTTGATTTTTTTACAGATCCACCCGCTGAAGTCACAGGCAGAATGCGATCTGTTTTGCTCTGTACGGAATGCCGACTTCGGAATCCGTCATTCTAGCGGACGATTTGTATGCGAAGGTCTGAGCAGACAGCAGACACTGGAAAGTGCAAACGTGTGATTGCAAGGAACATCCCTAGTGACCTCAGCAATAACAGCATGGAGTCGTTGCGGTTCTGTGAGTCCATTTGAACATCGAAGACCGCATCAGTGTACCTGATGCCGGGAAGCTTGTGCACAGAAGTCGATGGTCGATCTATGATCTCATTTACGACGCTCAGTAATCGATATTTGCCTCAAAAGAGGAGCAGACCTGTGGATCGATAACAGTTACTCACATCCTTCGCTATACAAGTTGGAGTACTCTGTGAAGATTTGGCGGCAGAAACAACCAGAGAATTAAATGAGCTACGTCATCTTCCTCGGATACGAGAACGAAACGTGTAAATGAAATCGCATTACAGTTTCTACAGATTTAAGTGATGATCGCTCTTGTGGAAACATAGTGGAAACTGTTTAAAAGTGACTTACTCGGGGCTGCCACCGAATACTGTAGTTTGAAACGGGTTGGTCTGCCTCCCAAATGTCAGTAGCGAACTTCTTGGTGGCATAAGATGTTGAACTGTTTTTCATCGAGAAACAAATGGATTCATAACGTAGTGTGGAAACAAACACCCTTCACAGTAAGAACTACAACGATCGGGGCATTTCTTACTTATGCCACAAAGGAAAGGTTGCCACAAAGTGGCACAAAGGAGGTGCCATGGAATAAATGACATCAGGATACAAGAAATGCAGTGTGGCATCAGATCAGGCCGAAGCCTCCCGACCAGAATTTCGCCTTACGCCAGAGTGGCGATAGACTGTGGAATTCGCTCATCCGGTTTACACGTGCTTGTGAACCTGGAAAAAACCATGAGCAGATCCCGCGCAGCGAGCTGGGCGCGTGGCTACAGACATATGAATTCGATGCCGATTGGTACAAGCTAACCAATCACTAATATTAATGGGAGGTGCTACATCGGAATAAATGGCATTTGGTTTCTCCGCTAAGATCTTTCAACATTGGTACCGGTCTCCACCAAAGCTGCGTTCTCTCCCCTCTCCTGCTTGTGCCATACATGGATAGGATGGCATCGCGCAGCCAAGGCGACAGTGCTTCAGCGCTGGAAACGTTGAGACAAGGAGGCAATGAGGTCGCTGCTTGCTAACGACCCTGTTTTGTTGGCATCTTCTGAAACTGATCGCCATGGCTCTCTGGAAAAGACCGGGATGTAAATGAACATGTCCAAAACGAAAAGCCCAACGCTTTCTAGTTCTCCTGCCCGTCGCACCCTGCGAATAAACGGAAAAGCGGTGGAGCATGTGGAGAAACCCATGTACCTCGTGTTCGTGTATACTGGTGATAAGAAATGGGAAGCAGAGATCTCCCGACGAACTGTAATAGCTAACAGTGAACTAGACCAAACCGTTGTAACTGAGACAGAGCCGAGCTAAGGACTAAGCTCTGTGAAATCAGGCCGACCCTTCATCCCAATAGTCACCTGCGGCCATGAGTCGTGGGCCGAGACTGAAAAACTTTTATCTCTGGTGCAACGGACGAAATGATCTTACTGAGACAAGTGGCTGGACTCACGGGTTTCGACATGGTCTGGAGTAAAACTGCAAAATGTATGCACAGCGCACACAAATAAATTGGTCAATCGATTTTTCGGCTGGTCTCTCAGGGACCTTCTTCAAGGGGTGCGGGCCGACGTTTGCAGTTGGTTGTATGGTCCAAAGTATACATATGCTACAGATCCTTGTTGTAGAGCCTTTGTTCGTTCAGATAGAGAACTCACTGCCGCGATGCTTTGAAAATGAAAGGCGAAAGAACGACCGCTGGCCCAACCGATCGGCTCGGCCGACGACACGGGTACGACCAAGAATAACATCAGGCAAATGCATTGAGGGACTCCGCCTCAGACACGGGTGATTTTCTGCCAGCGTTGGAAACATTGGCACAGAACCGGGAACACTTTTAGAAGCACTGTTTGACACGTCTGTCCTCACCACCCTCAAAGATAAGCGGCCATCGAAATTGACTGACTAATCGTCTTAAGCTGGAAGACTATCGGAAACCTATTCAATCTATTGGCTGAGAAAGGAATTGCTCTACCCACAAGACTCCGCCTACGCCTTACCTCTGTCATGTCATTGTTGTTGTACGGCGAATGGGCAGCTGTTCCAACGTTCTTGTCTAGAGAGACGGTTAAACTGCGCACACAAGGGTTGGTTTTTGACAGTTACAAAATGGTAGGACCACATAAAGAATGATTCTATTCTCTTCTGCGTAAAAGTCAACTGAGCAGATATGGGGTTTAACAGAAAAGAAGGTTCCTGTTGTTAGACAAATTGGTTAGACACAAAACGTCTGCACCAAACTGTGAGCTTCTCGCGTGGGAACGGAAAACAGACCATACTTCGACCAGGAGGCAAGCACGCAACAGTGAGGAAAGAAATACGGATAGATCGGCTTTCGCACTGGAGTAGTTCGTTCTGAAACGTAGCAACCGATGTTCTATCGCAAAGAGGTTGAGGTTGAAAGCTGCGAATACAGCAGATATGCAAACGACTCAACGTGATGATCCAAACGAACGATAAAAATCGCGAAGAACGCCGTTCCTGATATATTTCCTAATAACCTGGGTCTTCTGTGATTCATGCAAAAAATCAGGGGGTTCCAATGCAAGGCGTGACAATGCTAAGTGGTCCGTGTCTTTGGTCTGCTGCTTAGAAGTCTGTTGCGACTTTGAAGCGTTGAGATTCCTTCCAAAGTAGCCCTGGTCGCACGTTCAACCCGTCACGTCTGTGATCTCTTGATTTGGCGAATGAATAGCTCCCAATCGAAGAGATAATGAGTCAAAAATTGCCCAGTTTACCCTGAAGAAAGAAAGCAGAAGTGAACGTTTCTAGCCATTTGGACATCAGTTCCGCTCAAGCTTTTTTCTTGGACCTAATAGAATGGTACCGGTTTCCTAAACAACTCATAAATTCGTCATCACTTCCATGCATCTTGATGACAGTGTCTACAACGTAGTGGTAAAAACAGCATTCAGTCTTTGAACTTTTTCTTCAGTACTGTGGCACTGATTTATCTAACTCGAAAGGAGTGAAACATACGTTCTCTCGACTGCAATTATAAAGCCTACGATCGTGCTGCCCTGAAGGAGGTACGTGGGTTACGAAGCGCCGCAGTCTTGTCGATCATTCAATGGACCAGTCGTTTGCGAGGTATTCGGTAAAAGCCGAGTTTATGCTATCTCCTCATTAGCTGAAATTGCAGGTTCACGTTTTCATATTAAATAACTGCGCTTGACTGAAATTACGATTAACTACAATCGGACATATATTCCTACATTATGCCTAAGCTTCTCAAGTCATCTGCTCGTTAAGGTTCGTTGACTGAATATTTTGGATGCAATTCTTTACTGCTAATTAGTCCATGCTGATTATAATATCAGTACCATCGAAAACTGACCCCACGCCTGAGTCGAACCGGAATTTTACAATGTGGGTAGTCAGTGAGCAAACTAACTCTGTCCCCCCATCTCAATTAACATAAAATTCAACGACTTACTTGCCAGAGCCAGTGGTTCTGGGGCCGAAGACAAGGAACTCTACGAACCTGCTCGTCCAGCAGCACTGAAAATGGTCGCCAGATTTTCACATGTCACGTTTCTATCGCTGGCTGTGACGAGATCGATCATGAATAAAAACGCCTTTCGCTACTTTCAAGTCCTTCGCCCAAGTTTAAAAAGCGTCGCTTGCCTGCTTGAACCTCAATTGCGTGAGGACGTCAGCGAAGGAAGGTGCAGAGGGGCAACTCTTTCGACGCAAACGAGGAAGGAACTCGATGCAATTAATGCAAAAGACGAAAGTACGGCAAAATGAGTGACGGTGGATCGTTGGTCAGATGTCTGGACAAGTGCGGTTGTAATTTTCATCTAGTCATAGCCGCCGCCGCGCTTGTGGCCATCGATTTAATCGGTGTTTCAAAAAGCGTTCATGACAAACAACAGCTTCTAAGAGGTTCGCGAGATGAATGATCATTTGCGCGGTAATTCGAGGCGAAAAATCGATCCAGAAAGCCGACGAGTTCATTGTTAACTCCTCTCCTGGTAACTGGAGCTGACAGGGAACGGCGAGGGAACGAAAAGTTATTGCTAAGGATATGATCACTCATTTGTGCGTCTGTGACCATTGGTCATGAACTTGAAATGCTGACAG